GGCACCACCTGCAGATCCTCTTTCTTGGTCTTGGTCCTTTTTGTTACACCGTCACACCGAGATTTTTCCACACTACACAGTCCGCCTCACGCCCGTAAGAACCTGGGCTCCGATACCACATGTTGGGACTGCGCGTGCCCTCACCCCAACCCCGCATTAGTATGATATTGTCCGCTCTGGGCCAAGCCCTCACGGATTTGTTTTTGGGCACATCCCAAAAGGCCTCATACTAATGGGGTTGGGTGAACCTATATATTTTGGTCCATTTTTTCTTCTCCCTCCGGTGTGGGACTTGGAGGAATCCCCAACAGTTTCATAGGGTTACGGGATTTCGCCACAATGCCTGGATGTCAATGATTGACCAGGGAAAGGAAAGGTTTGTGCAGGTACCAACTAAAGCAAATGAGTCATTTGTAGCCTAGGAGGAAATTGTTGTTGATCGTGTTAGTGTTCTCAATGATATTCTTGTTATTACTAATGTTATTCCTGTAGACAATGCTGACGAGGACGGACACCAACGAGACCACTCTCTCACGACTAAAGTTTCCGGCGCCAATGCAATTTGTTTTGGATGCACAGAAAAATTTGGGATGTTAGACATTGAAGTTGTACTCCTTTATAATTCTGGGGATGTTACAGGTTCTGGCATAATAATATTTCTACTATTGATTGTCTGGCGCTTTGTGCTTGGTATTGTGAATGCTTTGGGCATGTTAGGTTCTTTGGATGCTCCAATGAATAAGGTGTTTGACCCCGGAGGATGGACGATGAATGACACACTTTTTCCTCGTTCTTTGTTGAATTTCCAACTTGAGGACAAGTTGGTTTTTGAGGCGGGGAGAGTGTTACGGGACTACATTTAGTATATTTAGTAACTATTATTATAGGTAGTTTAGTATTTATGATTAGTTATTTGTTATTATGGAGTATTATTATTATATTAGGTTATTAATATCCTAGTTTATTTAGTTGCCTTTTGTAATTAGGATTCCTTCAATATGCTAGCTATAAATGTATCACCACCATGGAGTTATTATTCAATCAATAAAGAATAATCATTTTCCCTAAACCCTAATCTCTTCTTCTTCTCTCTCGTTCTTCTATTCCGCCGAACAAAGTGTCGTGCGATTCTCTCTTATCTTCCTTTTCCCCAATTCTATAGCTCGGAGGTGCTCAACCTTCCCTATCCCGATACGATACCGTATCAGTGCAGGCAAGAACAGAGAAAAGGATGAAGCCAAGGCGAAAAATTTTGAATCTCTCTGCATCCATGAAAGCCATGAGGAAGAAAGATCAGAAAAGGTCTTCATCTTCTCCTACCAAATCCTCTCCACAGGGCTACAGTTTAGTTGCTGCTGCTTATGCATAACATGAAGGAAGAAGAACAAATGGAAATTTTATAAGGATCAAGAATAGTTCTAATATGCAGCCTCTAGATATGTTTCTAGATTAGATTTTTATAAGAATGGTGCACTGCTACAATTACAAATTGGTTCATTCTTATAGCTAAGGTTTACAAGCATTTCTATTAGATTCTTGAGGTGTTTCTTAGGTATACATCCATCAACTGTTTGATGAATTGTCCGAGAAGGAAAACAGAACAATGGAAGAGGACAAGGTATCAATTGTTCGAAGAATTATTTTAGAAAGCAAATGGGAGCTATGGAAGAGGACAACAATAACGAGTTCTGTTCCCAAATATGACACTCAAGTAAGACATTGACTTCTCATCTTCATGGAGGATCAAAGATCATAATATACTCTGTGAGATTTTTAGCATCTTTTTTACCCTGTGTTTGCTCTAATAATCTGTGAAATCATTTAAGAATGGTGTTTTTTGAAAAATGCATAGATAAATATCTATACCCAAACATGACACTTAGTATGATATCGAATTCTCAACTTCATGGAGGATCAAATATCAAAATAAATTGTGAGATTTTCAGCATCTTCTTTACCCTATTTATTCTCAATTAATATGTGAAATCATTTAGGAATGGCGTTTCTTTGAAAAATGAATAGAAAAAATACAGCATGGAATTGGAAGCCATTGGAATTGCCTTTACTGGAACAACACCAGTGGCAGGCCAGCATTGATTTTTTGTAGCTACCAACTACTGCTACAGGTATTCTTATCTTCTCAATAATCAGAAACTAATTAGAAAAACTACTACCTCGCAAGAAATAAGAACAATATATTTTATATACAACATGATCCCATGTAATAAAATTTTATGCAATAACCATAGATAGTATAGTATAACGCTAAATGAATGGTCCATATCAACAAGAATAATGCTAGAGTCACAAACAAAGCATTCACAAAATACACAAACTTACTATTTGTGTATTTTTGTTTTTATTATGCTTCATAGAGATTCAATTCACTCCACTTACTCTCATTTTTGCTCTTTAATTTGAGCCTGATCTGGACGCCATTACTTGGGATGGAGGTAAATCAATTATTGTTTATAGAATTTTCATTTGGACCACTCTCTCGAGTCATCAACCAATTGTGTGTATACTCCATAGAGACTTATAATCATCATTTAACCATTATGACGTGAATAACTACCCATATGATTGCAAGTGTTTTTACATATCTTTCATAAGTCCTGTCATATACTCATACTAATTATACTTGAGAAAAATCTCACTTTCTATTAATCACTTGATATCAGAAATTTATTTACCTCTTCTCCGGTATGCACGAAATCCTATGTTGTTCATCCTTTTTTATAAAATTAGTTAACATTTATGATTGGGTAAAAGCTTCTAAGCAATGAAACTTACTTTCTCCATTGCAGCATAATTTGTTCCAAATCAATACACATCTTTACCTTTACTAGGGACCAAGAAGATGAAAAAATATGAGCTGAAGAATCAAACTTATTTTAGTATTTACACAAAGTCTGGTTCATCGGCTGAATGCATTGGAAGAAAAAGATCCTCCAAATGACAATCCCATTTTATACAATCATTTAATTTAAATGTTGATGACAACACTTTCAATGATTCTCTCATAGAAGCATTGGAAATACTCGAGGAAAAGAAAACAGTTTTTGGTGCTATCTAAACTCTACAATAGGAATAAC